CCCCCCCCCCCCCCCCCCCTACGTATGCCTGTCGACCCCTCGGCTCTCTCCCGTAGTCACCCGTGCTGTATTGCCTACCATAGGGCTCGGCCCTCGAGGGCAATAAACGAGGATTCAAAGAAAGAAAAAGAGTGGGAGACAGGTGGAGATGCCGTAGGGCGTGGTGGTGTAGGTTGGAAACCCCCGTGTTCGCGTCAAGGCCCAGTCGAGCTAAGAAGTCGCGGTGCGCGATCGGCTTCACTTTGCCTGAACGCGAGAAGTACATCGGGGACCACGCAAACATGCAGTCGCCGTGGTCGTACCCGTGGTGGTGATGCCACGCGAAGATGCTCTGGTCAGGAATGGTCCGCAGGATCTCTTCCTGGAGGCGCAGGAACGCGCGCGGGCCCTCCCCATAGATAGTAGGCATGTTGATTCCGAAGATCCCCATGAGCGAGTACGCCGCGTCCTCCACACGCGTGGTCTGCCGCCTTGAAGCCCACCACATCCGCCGCGCGACGCTCACCGCGTACAGCGGCCTCTCATGCGTCAGCACAGCGTGATCCACCCCCGCCACCTCCTCCAGGACTCGCGCCAAGGTGCCCTTGGTGCCGAACAAGGACCAGTCGCACGCGAGGAAGACGACATACATGGGTGCGATAAGCTCCTGTAACGTCCAGCCACGCGTGTGCCACTTGCTCCCGCGGAACTGCGAGCCAGGCGCGAGCGCGTCGTCGTCGGGATCCACGTCCGCGAGGAATGCGTAGCATACGCTCGCTAGTCGGTACCACTCCCACATCGAGTTGATCGCCTCGGAGAGCTCCGTGCTGCTCTCCTTGTTGATGCAGCAGGTGTCGATCCAGAGGTATCGGTACCCTTGACCACGCGCGATCTCGCAAGAACGCCTGATTTTGTCCGAGATGCGCGCATCGTCGAGAAGTGATTCGAGTGGCTGGCGAGTTCCCGGGACTTGTTGTATGTGCAGTAGTTCTTCGTACGACTGTTCCCCTTGGATCTTCCAAACGTGGGACAGTATCGCGTAGGCGACGTCGGTCGGTTTTTCGAACCAGCAGAACAAGCCGGTCTCCGTATCTAGCAGTCGCATATTACGTGGTGTGCAGGATTGCTGGTAGATATTTTAGGGAATATTCGAGCAAGCGGGGAATGGGAGCACCGGAAAGCAGTACTCACCTTGGTGCGAATGACCGCGACCGACGGGGGGTGGTGAACGAGGTGCAGAGCACTTATATCTGACTGAAGCTCAGCTGAGCTACCAGACGCTGTTAAGCTGATCACGAGCGTATCTCGACTTGGTTCGCGGGAGGGTCCTTGCTGAGGTTCAAACGTTGACAGCTGGTCGGGTTCGATGTCGAACCACCGGTCATAGGACCAGACCGAACGATGACTGCATCCAGCAGCGCCCTAGGACGTTGCAAATGTTCCTGCGCTTGCAGCAGGTGAGCAGAAGTGGGCTTCGTGCCTCGCGCTGGTAGATTTACCCCTCTACTTTCATGTGCGAGGTGGACTATTCAGTGTAGCATCTACAAAGGTTGTATACCATCATAATCGATTTCCGCGGGTGTGAAGTTGGTGCCCTGTGCAAGATTGCTGGGAGTTAGCGCGGTTCCGCAAAGACTATATGGGCTACACACCATTCTCACGCGGGTCGTGTTTCTGCCACCACGAGGCAATAGTCAATTCACAGAAATACCCCTTGACAGCGACCTGACAGTATGCGGGGCAGTTGACTGCAGGTGGAAGCTGGGTACGGGTGCACAAAACACGTCTTCGCGGTCGATCGCGCCCAAGAAATTCTCACCACATGGTAGTAGAGGAAGACGAGTCCACCTTCGGATAACACATGCTGTTGCCAGCGAGCACAAGAGATTCAAGAACGAGAACTGGATGGTGGTGGTATGAACGGACGCTGAGTCGCGTGCAGTCGCCGCCCGCAGTCTCGCCGGTCGCGGCGGAGCGGAAGCGCGGAGAGCGCACGAAGCGCCCGTACACACCTCTTACCGCTGCTCACCATGTCGTCAACACCGAAGCCCACGTCGAGCGAGAACATCGTCGCGCAAAAGGTGTGCATTGTTGTCAACTATATGTGTGCTTGAGTACTGATGAATTATTCCAAGTTCGACCGCTGCTGTACGTGCAAACCTTCGCGCATGTCAACTGATACCTGACTTGCTTTCTGCATTTCCTCCTGGCTCGTGAATAGTGGCGGACCTCATCGTGAAGTCGTACGTCGCGTTATTCACCTCATCTTGAGATAGTGTGCTCATCCTATGGCTTGCATATAGCGGAGTGGGCTTCAGCGCGGGCGTCATCGCGTCTGTTATCCTCTTCCGCCGTGCGTACTTCTCTATTGCAACTCTCACTCTTCATTCGTCTTCCCCATCCATATCGCACATCAAGCTCACGTTCCTCCCTCCTCACACCATACAGGGCGAGCATGGCCCGTCGCACTCGGCACAGGCTTCGGTGCAGGCACGGCATATGCTGACTGCGACCGTTCGTTCAACCCCGCACGGATACCGGGCACGCGCATCATCCCCCACACGGAGCTCAAGAAGGACTAGAGCGCGTCGGAGCGGCGTGTGCGGGATAACAGGGATCGGAGGGTTATCCATAGAGCTGTCGGTGGACCGTGGATTGTTTGCATGCAATGTATGTCTCGACCCTTCTCCCTGCGTATCCCGCGGCCTTCCGCATGTCACATCAACTCTACTGCTGCACGACGCCATGCGAGACGAGTAAGGAATACTCGTGCAGGCTGCAGCTACGGCACGGCCTGGATGCTAACGTCACACGCCCTTGGAACCCCCTCCCTCCTGCTCGCCCTTCCCCTCCCCAGCGGTATAGATCGATGCCACCTTCTCGCTCCCGTGTTTGTCCAAATCTGTCGGCAGCACCCGCCGCGGTTCCCCAAGGACGAGGCGTTTGTACAGCACGACTGCCCCAACAACACCTCCGTGAGTTTCTCTGTTGCCACACGCCGCAGAAGCCCCAAGGGACGTACAGGATGTGACGCCCATGATGGGCAGCGTGAACATGATGGTGCGCCAGCGCCGCGCCTGGGGCGACAGCTTCGAGCTCATCGTCGGCGAGTGGTTTTCGGCGTCGTGCACGACGCGCGCGACGCTCTCGGCGCGCACCGGGGGGCATTTAGGCGCTTGTGGGCGGGCACGTGACATTCGCGTCGCGTCGATCGTGGCCCGACGGTGACGTCGGTGCGGCGGGCTGCATCCTCGGCTCAATGACTGCAAAGAGGCGAGTAGCTGTCAGACGGTGGCGGGGCAAGGGGAAAACGTCGGTGGGGCAGGAGGGACGGTCTGCGCATGAACCACCACCTCCTGCTGCCTCTGTCTCGCCTCCGTCTGCTAGCTGCTGCGCATATATCCAGGAAAGCCTCGACGAGCGTGTGTAGTATCGTTGCGAAGACACATATGGAGGCTGTTATGGCGAACAAACGGAAGCGAGCGACGAGGAAAGCTACGACGCCCGAGCCTGGAATTACAGGACCGGCGTTGGTGGGCAGTCCAGAAGAGGCACGCGCTCTCATACGCCGTGCCTCGCCGCGGAAGAAGCGCAAGGTGGTGTATACAGAGCTTGCAATAGCAGGAGAGGACGACGCTGCACAGGAGTCAAAGGTCGACGCAGGCTTTGAAAGCCCGCTCACCGACCTCGACGACGACGGACCTGCGGACGTGAAAACACCGAAGAAGAAACCGAAACGCAAGCAGAAGGTCAAGGAGCCGGTCGTATACGACATTCCACCCGTCGAGACGAAGACGACTACGTTCAAGGGTGAGCACAAGCGAGTATATACCAGATCTGTGAGAGTGACTCTCACTGAGACCAACGACTCCCACTGAAGCGAGTGGCAACAGTGAGAGTCACTGTGCCGAGGAGCCATATGATCAGGTCGCGCGAGTTTGCTGAGATCACGATCGGTTGTGTCGCGCTCGTCGAGTACGAAGACTAGGTGCTCTACCCGCAGAATGACAGCTCCGCGTATGTCTACCCACGTACATCGCGCTCGTCGTGTGGGCCTTCCAGCACGTGTGGCACGACACATTGCGCACGTTGACCACAACGCGACCTGACATGCTTGTTTGACCTCGGGCGACCACGTTCAGATGGTATCTTCAGCGGTTTCTATCAAGCCCACACGACGAGTTCGACTACAGGACGCGTACCAAAGAATGAGCCACATAAACACGTCGGCGATATGTGGCAGGCGATTGTACAATCGGAATATCCCGGGAGCATTGGTTTGTCTCAATGAGAGTGACTCTCACTGTTTTGGTCGTCACTCCGTCATGTTGCCGCGATCACGATGTGTTGCGTTGCGCTGGTCGAGTACGATTCTACGAAGACTGGGTGCTCTGCTCCACAATTCAGCACCTGTGGCGCGCCGCGTTACGAGCACGTCTTCCCCGTCGCGAGGAGCTCATTATGGCCGACCTGACATGCTCCTTGGATTATACAATTCAACCGCGGTTGGATGGCCAGTGTCTTCGTTGGTTTATATCAAGTCCCCACATCGAGTCCGACAGTATGGCATGCACCAGAAGATGAGCCACACGAGCTTGTCTGTGATGCGTGGCTGACAGCTATACACATGGGATATGCCGGAGGCATTGCTCTGAGCGGGAGCTGTTTGTCTCAGTCACTAGTCTCCCCTAGGGAGACCTTCCGAGGTGCTCTATGAGAGGGGGCAGGGATAGAGAGCCACTCTCACCGTTTTGGCCGTCACTCAGCACAAGCGGTGAAGGACGTCGAAGTGTGGAGGGATGATACTGACCGAGGTGCAGGGCGACTCGGATACGCGTGCTTGAACACCATCCTACGCGCGACGAAGCCAGAGCCCATCTTCTGCTCGCGCACACTGCGCATCGACACGATACTGAAGCCCGAGTTCGGCATGGATTACTGCAAGGAGCTGGGCCGTAAAAACGCGGAGGATCTTGCCAGGCTCATACAGGTGCGTGCTCGCCAATCCAATGGTAAAATTTAACAGCGACCATATGTCGCGCAGTGGAACGAGGAGAACAATATCAGGTTCCTTCGGATATCGTCAGACCTGTTCCCGTTCGCGTCGCATGGCAAGTACGGCTACACGCTGGAGTACGCGGAGAAGGAGCTGAAGGCAAGCATGCGTCGTCGGCCTACAGATGATGTCCTCTGACATCTTCGACAGGCGGCGGGCGGCCTAGCGAAAAAATATGGTCATCGCCTCACAACGCATCCAGGACAGGTAACTTGTGTATTTCGCACGTATATGACAGCGTCCCTGCTCAGTCTTCTTGCAGTTCACCCAACTGGGCTCCCCAAGAGAGGTTGTAGTCGACTCGGCCATACGCGACTTGAGTTGTGAGTAAAGATGATCTATGCACAGTATGGCTCTTACGAGCCACGTCCAAGATCACTGCGAAATGTTTCGGTATATGGGGCTAGATCAAGACACTGTCATGATCATTCACATGGGTGTATGTGCTTCTCACTTCTCTATCCTGACTGTGGCTCATTACCCTCATAGGGCATGTTCGGCGACAAGGATGCTACCATCCAGCGGTTCAAGGAGGTATACACGACGCGCCTCTCCGACGACATAAAGGCGCGACTCGTTCTCGAAAACGACGAGGTGCGTCTTGACTTTGATTTCCCTCGTAGCAAGTCAGTAACATGCAAGCGTTCGCAGATGTGCTACAACGCAGACGATCTGCTTCCTGTGTGCGAAGAGCTTAACATCCCGATCGTGGTGAGTCGCCCCCCCGCAGCGCCCACTGCATCCCACTCTGACACGACGCCACAGTTCGACTACCACCACAACTGGATATTCGTGAGTCTCCTGAACAAACAAGCCTCGCATGCACGCACTCACAGAACCCCTGCAGCCGTCGGTACTCCCCCTCCCCGAGTTAATCGCGCGCATCAACGCGATCTGGGACCGCAAGGGCATCAAGCCAAAGCAACACCTCTCCTCGCCCTGCCCCGGCGCAGAGTCCATCATGGAGAAGCGCAAGCACGCCGACCGCTGCTACGAGCTGCCCCCCGACCTCCCCGACGACATGGACCTCATGATCGAGGTGCGCTTCCCCCTTGTCTTTTCCCTGCGTTTGTGCGGCGTCTTACTTTCGCGGGACAGGCGAAGGACAAGGAGCAGGCGGTGCTGCACCTATACCGGGTGTACAACCTGCACCCGGTGATACACGAGAACCTGCGCCCGGAGAAGGCGGCGAAGCCGTTCCCGCGTATGGTCAAGGAGGAGGCCGCCGCCGCCGCCGCCGCTGCTGCTGCGGGAGGTGAGGGTGAGGGCGCGGAGGCGACGCCGACGCCTCGCAAGCGCGCGAAGCGGACGCAGGCTAAGATGGAGGAGACTGCAGGTAACGATGCTTCGCTCGGAAAATCGCATTGCGGAACTTGTGGCTGACTTGCGTTCGTCAGATGCGCTGGCTGTGTTGGAGACTGGGGTTGCTGAGGAACCGAAGGACCTTGAAGAGGCCGTCGAAGTGGATGACACCCTCGCCGCGGCGTCCAAGGCAACTGTGAAGTCGCCTCGCAAGAGACGTACAACGAAAATGATAGCAGCGAGTACGGAGGCGACCGACACCCTGGCTGCGAAGGACGAAGCGGCGGACAAGCCTGGCTCCACTACGAAAAGGCTCCAGCTAAGAAGAGAGGGCGTAAAGGTATGCTCTTCTTCATCGGCGCAGCCAAAGCGACTGACCTTACGGTAGTAGTAACTACATCCGCGACCTAAGTCTAGTCGTGATCTCCGAGAGTATAGCGAACTGAACGCTGTGTACAGTAGCATGGGCATCGTAGAGTGCATTATCGGATAGTGAGGGATATAATACATGATGATAATGAAGATCTGGTACAACAAAACAACAGACAACGCGTGCAACCCCAAAACATCAGCTCTACACAGCGTGCGGCGGCGGTCACCGCCTGTTGCCGACCTCATCGATGTCGTAAATGCGCATGAGCTCGTCAATCCGGGTCTCGACGACGTGAAACGTCTCGAGCGTCGTGACGATCATGATGTTGTTCGGCTCGAGCGACTCGACGCGCGCCTCCGCGCCCTTCATCGCGCCCGCGAGCACGACGACGATCTCGTTGTTGCGCTCGGGGTGCACCGGCCAGAGGTACTGCACGGGCACGGGCAGGATCGGGGTGAGCGGGTCGACGGGGTTGAAGAAACGCACGCGCGCGGTCGACTCGAACGCGTCGTTGTGCGTGTCGAACACGCTCAGCACCACGCCCTGCTTGCCCTCGAAGTCGCCGCCGTGCCACTTGCCGAACGTGCCGCGCGCCTCGACGACGGACCCGCGCTTCTGCGCGAACGCGGGCTCGAGCAGCCATTTCGCCGGCAGCTCTGCGGGGCGCGGCAGGTCCACGACGTCAACAACGGCGTTTTGCGCGGAGAGGAGGGCTGGGGACTCACCGAACTGGGGCTCCGCGTTGGCGTACGACCCACCCATGACCCCTGGGGTCTGTGGGTATGCACCGCCCGCGGGCGTCTGGTAGTCGAACGGCGTCTGTATTGACGAGTACGGAGCGGGCGTGGGTGCAGCCCCGGGCGTGAACGCGGCGAATGGTGTTGGCGCAGCGTCCCAGCGGCCGGGCGTCGCGCTCCCTGCGGCCCACGCGGAGGAGCTGCCGCCGCCGTTGGCGTATGGGTTTGGTGTCCGCGACGACGAGTTCCATGCGGGCGTCTTCCCGCCGCCCTGGGTATAGGGATTTGGCGTGCGCGCCGTCGCATCCCATGCTGGTGTCTTGCCCTCCGCGTATGGATTTGGTGTCCGCGAGGACGCCATCCATGCCGGTGTCTGACTGTTGGTGTAGGGGTTGGGTGTTCGCCCGGTCTGTCCCCAGGCCGGTGTCCGCCCACCCTGGTTGTATGGGTTGGGTGTTTGGCCGCCGAACCCGCCCGCTCGGGGAGGAGCCATAGCGGCGAACGACTTCTCCAGGGCCTCCAGGCTACCGTCAGGACTGCAGATGTAATATGAGTATGGGTCGATAAGGTAGGAACGAAATGAAAAAGCGCACTTTCTTCGACGCAGCTTCTCCTTGTCGATAGTGATGACCTTGTTGCCCGTGAGCAGTTCGACACGAGCGTGCGGCCCATTGGTATCCTTGATAGTCCCGACGTAGCCCTTGCTAGGGCCTTTGATGACTGTTACTGAGACACCAATGAGCCTGTCCCGGGGACCGCGACCGATGTTGCCGGAGCCGACCATCCCGCCAGCGCCACCGCTCAGTGCTGGGTTCATTTTCGAAAGGTCAGTGTTGCCGAGCTTCAAGATGTTACCCTTGGGCGCCAACGACGCAAGTGACCGAGCCCTTGTCACGAAGACACCGCCGTTCTCGGAGTAGTCGCGATTGTGCAAGAATGCGAAGAAGGACTGGTGAGTATGCAGCACTCTGCCTTTGCGATTCTATGGGATAGCATCAGCGCCAGCCGATGCGTAGATGGTCCGACTACGTACCTCGCCGTCAACTTCCTTCACATTGTCGCCGACTCGCAGCTCGTGCCCTTCTGAGTCGGTGGCGATTGCGCGGTTCGAGTCGCGCCGCATCGTGATTTGATGGGGCTGCACTAGGCGAACCTGCCCATTCTGGTCCAATACTCGGAAGGAATCGCGTTCGGTCTTGAAGATGACGCCGACGGTTTGTTGACTGAGCAAAGGTGAGCTGCGACAAATGCACCGCGGGCGCAACAAACTTACTCGATCTGTACCAGGTCGTGCAGCTCGTAGTTGCCTACGATGTTGGTACCAGTCCCAACTTCGGCCGCTTCTCGCAGATCTTTGGAGAATACTGATACCTAGAATCGTCATATCGTTAGTGGAAAGCTTCATGGAGTGGCGATGTCGTAACATACCTCCTGCATGGTCATGTCGGACAGGAATGTAACGACGTTGTCGATGACTGACACGACCAGACCGGTCTCGTCAGCGTTCTTGCCCGTCATGACCTTGACGTGGTCTCCAGGCTTGAAGCGTTTCCGTACGCTCCGGGCGGGGAGTTGTATCCGCTGACCGTCAAAGTCCACGCCGACTGGCTCGATGGTGACGACGTCGCCCTCGATGCTGTGCACGGTACCGTGTACTCCAGACTGCTCTCCCTCGAACACCTCTACGTGATCTCCGGGCTGCAACACCGAAATGGCGGCCTTGCGAGACGCCTCCGCGATGATCGACAGGTCGACATTGGACTCATTCTCCGTGCCATCTTGCCCCCGCGTGAAGCGCGTGATCTCGTCCAGAGTAGGGTTGACGTCGTCGAGCTGCAGCGCCGCCAGACGGAAGTCCTTCTCGATGAACCCGTCTTTGTACGTGTCGTTCTGGAACACGTAGACCTGATTCCGTTTCGCGACACCCTTGCGACCGTACACCTTCACGACCTCCTCGTAGTTGAAGAAGCGCTGTGGCGGACGCATGTTGAAAGACGAGAGGCCCGCGCCTGCCTTCTTCCGTTTCTTGCCGTCGATAGCAGCGTCGTCTTTGGGGTTCAGGTCGATACGAGGGATGAACTTGAGTCCGACTTCCTCGCCATTCTCGGTGATATCCATGACTTGTGCGAGGTCTCCCTGATACTTGCCGCGCTTGATGCGCACCCAGGTGCCCGGAGTGACGGTGAGTTCTTGCTGCTTGATCTGCAGGAGACTGGCCATTTCTTCGATGGGAACAAGATTGATTCCTCGACTGGGGAACACGCCAACAAGGCCATTAATGGCCTCGCTGACTTGTTTTGCGCTGCGGGCTTCGACGTATATCATGCCTTGGAGAGAGTCGCGCTGGAAGGCAGAAAGAATCTGTAGGGGGTGGTTCGAGTATTCCAGGTCGACCGCCTTCCGCATAAGACTGAACACGATGTCTCTCTCCTTGCCGGGCTGGAGGCGGATGAGCAGCATATTCGCGCACAGCAACATAATCACGTACCCTGACTCGGATTTGCCACAAATTCGCGTCGTGTACGGACGGCATGAGGAGCCGTTGGGGAACGTCGCTCATCTCGCCAGTATACCGCACTGCAGTGCGTCTGTAGCGTAGACTGATATCCTCTGCTACCTGCTCCAGTTCGCGGTCGTCCATCTCGCGGACGCGTCTGTCGTAGCGAGCATGCTCCGTTCTGTTTTTATGCGCGTCATAGTCGTCTTCGCCCTCCACCCCAGTGTCCGCAATGAACTCGTCTGTGATTGCTGGTCAATATCGTAGGGCGCCGTGACTGCAAATCACCACAGTACCTCGCGCATACTCGTCTTCGTCCTCCTCTTCATCTTCATCTTCGTCTACCTCGGCTTCAACGTCAAGGAAACGATTAACAGCGGGGCGTTTGTGGTGTCGATGCTGCGTTCACAGGTTAATATCCGGACTAACCGCGAGGAGATGAGCGTACTTTTGAGCGCTTCTTGCCACGCTCTACACCCTCATCCTCCTCTTCCTCCTCATCGTCCTCATCCTCTTCATCATCATCATCCTCCTCTTCCTCCTCGTCTCGTCTCTTCGAATGTTTCCTTGGGCGCTCTTCGAGCTCTTCGGTTTCGTCGTGGTCGTCACCGCCGTCGTTGTTGAGGACGGTCTCGTCTTCCAAGTCGGACATTGCGACGGGCGAGCTGGGGGAAGCACGAGAGAGATGGTGGTGGTTCAGAGACAAGAGGGACAGTGGTGGTCTCTGTACACACCGTCAATACTTAGACACTTCGCAGGCGCCACAGCGCTGTTGCGTCGGAGATGATCGGAGGCTACAATCACCGCCTGAAAGTTAAGCTCCGCCACATCGGAGCTCATATTCCCCGATACCTGACCTTCGCCCATGATTTCGCTGAGATTCGCTCCTCCTTCACGACGATGACCTGCCGCGGCCGCTATCCTCTTCGTGCTGTGTCTGGACTATGAGCGAGTTCGCGCAATTCAAGGATCTTCCGGTCGAGCTGCTTCCACTGGTCGTGCTTCACGTCGTACGACCGAGCCATCTCGCGGCGCTATGTCTGGTCAATAAGACCTTCTACACGTTCGCGGTCCCGCTTCTGTACGAGCGTGTTTTCATCTATGCATGGCACAAGGAGGGAAAATCCAAGGCATGTTGTCCCGTATCTTCGCGAATTTGCCCAACGGGAGGAGCTCAGGCAACGGGCTAGGTTATCAAACTATTCAGGACCTTGGCAGAGTACGCACATCTCGCTACATTGGTGCAAACACTAGGTAAGTCCATTTGGGACTTGGGCATCTCCTCTTTTCGATAGGCTTGGGGATGGCGTCGGCGCCCACTTCTACTAAAGAGGTACTCATCACTGGACACAGTCATTCGCGATTTCCCCAAAGCCTTACAATCTGAGGAGCACGACACGATCCTTTCACTCTGTCTACAAGGCGTCCGACACTGTGTCAATCTCAGGGCTTGTACTTGGACGCGACATGGCTCACTTACTTCTCGCGTTCTCGAAACTCTGCTTGACTGTCCCAATTTAAGCGAACTGGAGCTCAACGGCCAGCATAATAACTTCTATGATCCTGGCCTTCTTCCTCGCTTTGACAAGCTGCGGAGACTGTCGCTCATCATGCCTAGCGGCCAGGTGGTCGACACATTGCCTTCCTGGACGCGGAACACCAAAGAGACTCTACAGTATCTGAGTCTGATCTGCAAGGCGAGCCCTCTTGTCACTTGGGTCCATTCATGACGTTAAGTCGTACTCTTATGCAGTCTTCTACACGAGTCACGGACGGTGTACTGCACGACATTGCGCCGCATACAATCAACCTAGAGTATCTATATCTTGTCGGTTGCCCGAAGGTCACCCACGAAGGACTCTCAGCTGCTCTTTCTGGTATCTACAAAGGCATCGTCGGGCTCGGGATGGAAGGTCTGTCGACCGCTTTCGTAGGTTACTTCCCGTCTCCTATGATCAGCTGAAGTTCATGTGCTCCTTAGGATATGGGAGCTTTCAGCGAACACTGCAATCGAGCGGGCACCTTGTCCCGCCTACGCTCGATCACTCTGACAGTGGATGAGCATACTTCGCTCGCAGACTGGCAACGAGATGTCTTGAGCCTCCTCGCAAACGTACCTCTGCAGCAGTTCCACATATCAACCATTGGTGGCCATGTCAATCATCGGCTGAGCGACGAATTTTGCAAAGCCGTCGTCAGCGCACACGGTCAACGGTTGACTCGGTTCTCGGTGCATCGCATGCGGATGGGCATTGGCGCGATCGCGGACATATGCACCCGATGCCCTGTCCTGCAGCAGCTCTTCATCGTTGTGGAGCAGAACGACATGGTCAGTCGTCGTTCCGCTGTGATTTTATGGGATCGGTTTACTAACAGCACCCAGGATACGCTTGGTTCCTGCCTAGCTAAGGCGCACAGGCTCAGAGCAGTTCACGTCAATAGACCCCTTGACTTCGGCTCGGAGGATGTCCCGAGGCAGTCCTACAACAAGATTCTCGAGATCGCCCGCGACTGCCCACCCACCGTCAAGCAGTTTGGCTTCAACACCCGCGTATTCCAGGTGCGCCAAGATGACCCCCGTGTTGATTCTACGCTTACCATCCATAGGTGGAGCGGTCTGGGGTGCTTGCGGACGATGGGGGTACCCGGACAGAGGTGAAATTGGCCCCTTACGAGAATCCAGAGATCCCCGAGCAGTTTCTCGTCGTACGAACATAAACGTAGCTTTTCGAGAGCTCGCTGGACCATGCTAGGTAGAACGAACGCGCACATGTCATGGCGATGTCTTCTTTCACCTCAGGTTGGTCACCTCCTCGACAATTTTGTAAGCAGCAGATAAGCCGAGGACGAACACCGCTCGCAGCACGCGATGAAGCATTTAGACATGCATCGTCCATAGACGATAGACCCGGGCTCACGCAAGGGGTGCCCGGAAGACTGAGTAAGTCGAATCGCCTGATATCGCGAAGGCCGAGACTCATCGACGGCCCAGCTTCTAAACCTAATATGTACAGAAGCACAAGCTCGGCATGCATAGTCAGACTCCGAGGCTGTGCCGCTATATACTGGGCGCGGCGTGTCGATAGCAAGGACATCACCCCCAACCACACAATTGCTCCTGCCTCCGGCACGTCGTTTCAGGCAACGCATAGTCCTTTGTCTAATGTCATCAATCAGTGTTGTACCGCTAATGGCCACATCGAAGAGCATCGTGGAATATTCTGGCAGGCGTATCACCTACGAAACACCGCTTAAATTCGCAGAGGTCGCTACGCGCTTCGAAACGGCACTGAACAAGTCCGCGGGCGGTCCCGCTGTCTTCCGCGTCCTTGGGACGGCCCAAACCAAGGAGGAACTTGAGACCGGCATCAACGCCTTGACGGCCGGAGGGGACTTCCTGTACGTTTCCGTGCCTGATGCGTTTGGTGCACCGTATCGACTGCGTCATCTAGGTACTTTGGGGAGCTCGCCCACCACAGGTGGATGAAGACGTACACGGGCGTTCCCACCACGCCGCAGACGGCTGTGTACACGTTCGGGAACCCGCTCATCGCGCAGACTATGCTGTCGCACGACTACGCAGCAGGCCTCCACATCCCGCTGAGGCTTATGCTCCTGGAGAACGTAGACGAGGGTGGGACGAAGGTCATCTACGACGATCCGGCCCCCCTCGTTTTCCTCCCTGGCGGAAATGACGAGCTGCGCAAGGCAGCACAAGTGTTGTCTGCGAAGGTTGAGCGGTTTGTGCAGGCTGTCATCGAACAGAAAACCAAGTGATATTCGCTGTGCATGTGAGTACTCGAGTACTAGTGTCGTGCTTGCTGCCCAGTCAGATTGCTGACGTGCACCACTTCAGATCCAGGATACGGGGAGGCATTTATAAATACATCGTTGATCAGAGCTGCCGGCGGCGAGAAAGAAGGTGTAGGGTGCCCAGCGTCATCTGGGTGATCCTTACTCCGGATGCCATTTTTCATTCCCTTTTTTCATCCTCGCTCAGCCCCTCCACAAAGGCCTGTGTGAAATGTGGATGCAGCGGCGATGTAGGCTCCGCGTAGAGCTGTGCGTATGCATGTGTTCCTAGCTATAAGGGGATGGAGAGTGGCATCCGCGGGACAGTCTCCTGTCCAGCTCGACGTCCCTCAGTCTACGCCTCCCACTTTCTCTAGCCTCCTCAGCGTACATCTTCGCCTAAGTCTTGCGTATCTTTCACGGTACGTCACTTATTACGCTCAACACGTCTAACATCACGCTGAATGTGATTAGGAAAGATTGCGACTCATGCGGCTCCTAGACACGAGGAACGGACAGTTTCACGAGATCCTCAATGCCACAGACCAGCCTTATGCGATCTTGAGTCATACCTGGGATCAAGACGGCGAACAATCCTTCGAAGATCTATGTAAGATACAAGCTCGCTACAAACACCCGGGCTACGTCGACATCTACCTCTCATATTTCGGGCAAGCCAGTTTATCAGATGACCATGATCTGCGCTGACCGAGCACCATAGGCGGCTGCTGCTCTCTGCGCTACCCCGCCAAACCGAAACTCGCTACTCGGTTTCGTCGACCCCTCTAGGGACCATGCGCTCAGCTCTATTCTACGCCCCCCTGACGTATTTACTAATCATCCTCGGAGTCCTCGGGCGCTGTTGTACGCTTCGCTCGGTTTTGACGGACTGCGAGCTGTCGTCCAAGATCCGGGAGGCATGTGCGCGCGCCCGCGAAGACGGGTGCGACTTCTTGTGGATAGACTCCTGCTGCATCAACAAGACTAGCAGCGCTGAATTATCGGAGGCCATCAATGCGATGTACTTCTGGTACCAAACCGCTACTGTCTGCTATGTCTACCTTGCGGATGTGGAAGGGGGCGGAACTGTGGGGGTGGATCCAGAAGGCTTCTGTCGCGCCCGATGGCATACTCGCGGATGGACTCTGCAGGAACTCCTAGCACCTGCCTCGGTCGTCTTCCTGTCAAGGCGCTGGGTCTACCTCGGAACGAAAGTCACGTTGGCCGACCTTCTCTGCCGAAGGCTCGCTATACCCTCCGTGGTGCTGACAAAACGAGTTGCCGTAGATGATTTCCCTATCGCCCACCGAATGTCGTGGGCTGCGGACCGCGAAACGACAAGGGAGGAAGACCTCGCATACTGCCTCATGGGTCTGTTCGGCGTCAATATACCGACCATGTACGGCGAGAGGAACCATGCCTTTGCTCGTCTCCAAGAGGCCATCAGGATGCGTAACCCCGACCTTTCCATCTTCGCTTGGAACTTTAACCGACTTCCCACTCGTGTGAAGGAGTTGGGCGCTTTCGAGTTCAATGCTAAGTTGAAACGCTTGCATTGGACGATGGAGCTACCTGACGGGCGGTTGCGGTACCACACAAGCGACTCTTCCTCTCATTTTGCCAACCATCCCATGTCATTCGTCTGCGCCGCCTCCATCTGCCCGCTCAATCCTGCCCAATACGCCACGCGACTTGGTTTTTTGGGCAGTGTCCCTCAAGACTGGACTCTACCATCGCCTCACGGCGAACCTGTCCGCCTTCCTATCCTGCCCCTACGTCATTTCATCCCCGAGACCTTGAACCCCGGATCGCTATATTCATCCAATCTCTACATCCTTCTGCTTCCTTGTGAGTGGCAGGGTCCAACACTAGACATCGACTGCAACAACATCCTTGGGATCGTGTGTTCCGGGCTCGGGGCGCCTGCTCCATTCGGTACTCCCAAGGCCCTATGCGGTGCAACGGTATTTCGCTCGCAAGAAAGCGGATGCCGTCTCTTCTCTCGCATGGTCCTCCTTACCCGCGCCGACATTGCTCGCTGCAGGCATTACATCTCCAACCTCGGACATGGTTTGCTGTCAAGCAATCCCTACACGCCACTGTATACCCCCCCTCCCCGAACCATCCTAGCGCCCTCCGAAGATTCGGACTCGCCAATCGATGTCCAATTAGCAGAGTGGTGTCTCTCGTCGTTGAGAGCACAGGGGTACGAGGTCGTCTCTCCACCATCACCGAACGCTTCCGCCACGCATGGGGACGGGCATCTCTTCCGATATGCTTTTCTAAAGCAGGACTCGGCATCCGCCATCCTTTTCGAGCACACTCAGGCATTCCGTCAAGACTGGAGAGTGTGGCTGCGCGTGCGGCTCGGACTCGTCCCAGCGGCGATGGTCTTGCCCTCTCGCGCTCGCCCTGTGCCGGTGCCTGGCGAACTTGATGTCGAGAGTGCTGCTTCGGTGATGACCTCTTGGGTGGAGTTGGTGGAAAACAGCGAGGTTGCAGGGGACTTAGGCTTCGAAGACCGCTACCGTCTCATTGTCAGTTTCAAAAACAGGTCGTGTAATATGTATTGGCTGGCCGTTGACATCTCAGGGTAATAGCCGTTATTGTACGATACTAGTTGCGCCGGAATGCAGTACCCGATAATATGTAGTTATCAATCGATGTATAGTAGAGTAACCCGTCCAGCCCTTTGCTGCCAGTGCATCAGCCGGGTTCTATCAAACATGGCGCGAATTCGGTTTCAATCTTCTCGACCACGTAACAACCCTGTTACAAAATCTCAAATCGACGAGAGAAGTGGTTAGAATAGGTCGTAAGTTCGCTCAAGCGCGGCAGAGCCAGTTCCGTCAATCTCACTGTGACTTAAATAGCATTGATCAACACAGACCAAACATGTACACAGACCACGATAACGCCCGTCTCCCTGTTCTCAGCCGTCTCAGCGTGCCGGGCCCAGTAGCTCGCCATCATCTGGTCATGGTAACATTCACCCATTGCTTCTGTGAACGTCCCATGTGACAGTGTGCCAGCCAATGGGGAGATCTAGCCCTCGAGGCAGTACTCGCTAGGCTGAGGAGCCTCGTGTTGACGTTCATCAAGGGCACCGGTATTGGATAGTATATATACGGGTTTGTGAGTCCCAAATACCTCATCGGTGGGCCATCCATATCCTCCGTCTGGTGGTGGCTTCTTCAACCGTACGCCGTGCACGCTCCCTCGCCATGACATGACGGCATACTGACAACGATTGTCCCTCGATTCTTCAGGTCGAGTTGGTCTACCATGCGACTGCTCAGCACCGACACCGGTCTATTTCGCGAGGTTTCGAACGCAATGGACGTTCCGTATGCGATCCTGAGCCATAGATGGGATGGACCGAATCGCGAACAATCCTATCAGCAGGTCTGCGCCATTCAAGCATCTTACTTGCATCCCACCGCTCTGCAGCACCTTCTCTTCTATCTGGGGCGAGTATCCTTCCACCCGGAAACTGGCAATTTGGAACGCGGCTGATACGGTCCCTTGTCGTAGTCGCATCTTACTCTGGATCCTGCCGCAACAAGTCACCCACTTTCCCTGCATCTCGTCGAGTGCACCCCTGGCCAACCAACGAACAAGCATCGCCCTTTTGCTGCTGGTCTGGCTCAATTTCGTCACTGAACTCACGCACTCCTGGGCCCATCCCTCCGTTCTCACTGACCCTCGTTTGTCGCGGAAAATTCGAGATGCATGTGCCTGCGCACGTGCGGAAGGGCACAAATACCTCTGGATCGACTCCTGCTGCCTCGACAAGAGCAGTAGCGCGGAAATGTCGGAGGCGATCAACGCGATGTACCGCTGGTATGAGGTCGCTGTGGTGTGTTACGCGTATCTCTCGGACGTACACAGCACGCGAAGGCAGAAGAACATGGTCGGGGAATTCTTCCTCAGTCAGTGGCACACCCGCGGATGGACTCTCCAAGAGCTGCTCGCACCAGACCACGTCATCTTCCTCTCCGCGAGCTGGAAATACCTTGGTACGAAGACAAGCCTGGCCAGCGTCCTCTATAGACGGCTCGGTATTCCCCCGCTCGTACTCACGAAGTTCCAACCCGTAAAGAGCGTGTGCGTCGCGATGGTGATGTCGTGGGCGACATCGCGCGTGACCACGCGGGAGGAGGATAGGGCGTACTGCCTCATGGGCTTATTCGGCGTCCACATGCCCACCCTCTATGGAGAGGGTAACCGCGCGTTCGTCCGCCTTCAAGAAGCGATCTGGGAGCGGACGCCCGACGCGTCTGTCTTCGCATGGAATCACACACAGGTGCCGACCCGGATCGAGGGGCTCGACAAGTACTCTGTCGATCTCAGCCTCGACAGAACGATACAAGAGTACCGCTCCCGTGTTGGGTGGATCGAGACACGCCTGATCGACTTCGTCTCGCATTTCGCAACCCACCCCGGAGACTTCCTCGTCGGACGCAGCATGAAGTTCATCACCCCCAGGAAGTTTGGGGAGTATTTGGGCAAAGAGCAGAACAACTCCGGGTGGGTGATTCGATCCCCTCACGGCATTCCGAGCCCTGTCCCCTACATTCCTATGAAGGTCTTGCTTTCTCTAGAGGGCGCGGCGAACTCTAAGCCAACATCCAAGGGCCCGTATCCCCTTTCCAAACTCTACCTCATCCCCCTCCCGTGCACATGGCAGGTCCGCGAATCGAAGGAGCCAGAAGGCCTACTCGCCATCGTCTGCAGGGAGTCTCTGTACGCAGCGCCCGGCGCGGACGCGGACGACGAGCTCCCCGCGCACCTCGTACACGGCCCGACCAAGGTGTTGCGCCCGGTGACACTGCACAACCCGAAGCTGAAGCGCGGCGCGGGGGCCTCCCGCCTCGTCCTCCTCACCCGCGCCGACCTCGCAAAGTGCCGCGCGTCCATCCGTCCCAATGGCTCCCTCTTCTGCGACCCGCACCGCCGCGCCGCACCGAGCCTCACACGCATGCCGCCTGTGCGCGAAACGGACTCCGTCGAGCCGGCCGTGTGCACACCGATCTCCGTGCAGCTTGCAGACTGGGCGCTCACCCTGTTGCGCAGGCGGGGATACCAGGTTACGCGTCTCGACTCGCTGCCGCCCGGCGCTGAGCCGAAAGTGGAGCCTGAGGCAGCCAGTAAGTCGAACGCGTGCGCGACAGTGGGCACCGATTCGGATTTCGGGGCAGACGAGGCGCGCGCAGAACCAGACCCGAACGCACGCAACGAATCGGACGCGAAGGCGGACACTCCCTCCGCCGTAAAGGAACCCATCTTGGGGTACAAGCTCAGAAGGAAGGGTATGGGCTTGATCATCATGGTGCAGCATAGTCCTCCCGTCCGGCTCGACCATGAGATCGTCATGCGCGTGCGATTTGGGCTGGTGGAGACCGCGTCGCCATATATAGCCCCCGCGAAAGCGGAGAGAGAGAGCAAAAACATCGCCAAAGGTGAGGAGAAGGGCGAGGGTGGAAGCGAGGCAGAAGAAGAGGGAAGAGGCAAGCTCGAAGAAGAGGGACAGGGCGAGGGCACCACTCTTCCCCAGCGGGAGGCGTGGACGAAGTGGGTGAAGGTCTGGGAGGGAGACGAGTCCGCGGTGGATTTGCCCGACCCACGCGGGAAGTATATGTTTCTCTTCCGGGTGACGGTGCGCCACCAGTCGCACGCCGTGTACAACATGGGCCTCGAGATTTTCCCTGCGGCCTTGAAGACTCCGAAGGTCGCACAGACAAATTCCACGCTCTCCAGTGCCACCTCTCCGTCCGAGGGGGCTGCTGTCGGCACAGGCGAGGTCGACGCGGACGCGGTGGGCGTGGACAAAATGGACCAGAACGGGATGGTTCAGAGCAGAGTAGACCAGGATGGAGCGGACACGGACGTGGACCCAGACGAGACATTATGCGATTTCGCCCCACCAGACTCGGAGTATGACACGGACACGGACAAGACGTTGTACAATATGTAGACTGTTGACGCGCACACATTGCTGGCTTGCACCTGTACACCCCGCACAGCCACGAATACACCTCCAGCAGACAAACGTACATACATGAGAGGGGGCCCACGACGATATGTATACATCACCCTTGGAAGGCGATTCCCCTCTTGGACGTCTCTGCCAGACCGCCCGCCGCGAAGCCGGTCCCTGGGAACGAGGTTTCATTAGCATGGGGATGAAACATAGCCAGTGTGCGTCCGTACCTTCACGAGTGAGCTCGATCACGTCCTTCTCGCCGAGCTTAACGTCGCACAATATGCACTGCATCGCAGGCTTGACGAGCGCATCTGTGCACGTTTTACAGGTAACGTGTCCACATGGCTTCATCACTGCAAATCGCGATGAGGGACTGTGATCGCCGAGAAGGAAGTCGGAGGACGTACTATTCATGAATGTGTTGTTCGACAGCTGTTTCTTGCATGACGGGCACATCGGTGGCTGCTCCTCGTCTCGCAGCGCCCTAGGTTTAGGCTCGACCGACTGGTCTCCCGCGTCGGTCGCAGGCGTGGACTCCACGGACTTCTGGGATACGGAGTTCGAGCTGGTGTCGTATGTCCACTTGACCGGGATGAGGTTCTTCCGTCTACACATAGAGTGAGTCTCGTGCGGATGAACATATAACATGACAGTACGCACGATAGCGGATGCGCGGGGTTGCCGCCACGGCACGTCGTCTGCAGCTTCACCTGCGCCAAGGACGTCGGGGGCCCGTGCGAGGTATATGTCGGGGTGAGCGAGGGCAGCCAGAAGTCGGGGAGCTTGCTCTTCAGCGCCTCCGCCTGTTCGCGCTCGATCTGCCGCAGCGCCGCCTCCTCTGCCTCCCGCGTGAGCGTGTCCACTGCGCTCGCGTCGAAGTCGAACTTGCGTTTGGACCCTCGAGCTGCGGGACGCAGACTATGTGTAAATTCTGGCTGCAGGGAGGGACCTTCACAGCGGAAAGGACATACCGTCTGACGAGTCGGCGCGTGAAGAGGTCGATATGCTAGAGACCGCAGCGAGCCCAAGCTGGCCCTTCTCGAACTCGCGCAGAACCCGCTCGCGCGCCGCCTCCCGTGCGCGCTCCCGCTCCTCCTCCGCCTCCTTCTTCATCGCCTCCAGCCGGACCTTCTGCCGCTTGATGTCGTTCATCTGCGACACTACGACAGGTCTACATCCGCACTCTCCCCTTTATGCACCGTTAGAGACGTACCGAGGTCGGTCAGGGCGCACTCCTTGCAGAAGAGGTGGCCCTTGTGGCACGCGACGGGGTCGCGCGCGCGCTGGAGGCAGAGCGCGCACGCGTCGAAGCGACGCATGGACTCGTTCCCTAGACGTTGCTGGACGGGTCGGACGTTTGTCAAGGGGTGTGACGCGGCCGAGAGGACATACCCGCTTCGTGCCATAGTCGAGCTTCTTGTACTCTGCGTACGAGAAGATCGAGGACGCGGTGTTGTTCTTGCTGTGTTTTGTCATTGTCGCCTGGGGTTTGTGTTGATTACTGAGTGAGAGAGCAGAAGAGTGCTATGAAAGCAAGAGCAGACAACTAGAGAGCTTGTGACGCGGGAGGACAAGCTGGGTATTCAGGAAAGTGAGCAGGGCTCACGGTGGTGTGGATGAAAGGTGTGGGGGAATAGGCGCCCATAATGGACGCTACGTACTATTAGCGCCGCAAGCTGCTCGCTCTGCACTGACAAAAAAGTGATACATTGACATTTCGTAAGGTGTGCGTAGATACAGCAACAACACGGCAGAGCTAGTACACACAAGCAGCGCAGGACGACGTACAAGTATATGGAGAGAGTACGCGGATCCAGGGTATCAGTATTACATTATACTGGCAACATGATACACACCAATTTCCAAGCATCCAGCACGGGAACCAATCCGGCATACGTGGTGCAAATGAGGACCTAGAAACGGGCTGCCAGCAGCCCGATGCCCACCCCGGCGCAGAACGCGCTCATGAGAGCGAATCCAACGCCGAACTGATACCCAAAAGAACGCCCTCCCCTCCGCTGTGTAATTTCCTCGGGAGCAGCGGCGCCAGCGGCAGGCTTCCCGTTATACAACCCGAACGAACGGGCTACGCGCGTACGCAGCGCACCAAGGAGCGAGACCGAAAAGACGACGAGCGATGGGATGTGGAGCGGGTCGAACGCGGCCGAGGGGCATGGTGGGGAGAGCAGGCCGCCCTCTTCACTCGTATCCCGCGGCACGGGGGTTTCCAGTGCAGCAGGCGGAGCATCGCGAGCGCGGAAGTACGACGTCTGCCCGGTGGGCGGGAGAGTGGAGAGCGGGGTGATGCGCCTGACGGTCCCCGCGCGCCGCCGCCGGAGGTGCAGCGCGACCTCCTGCGAGAGCTCGCCCTCCCACTGCGCCTCCCATTCCTGCTTGTCCCACCAGCCCCGCTTCTCCTCGGGCTGTGCATGTGCGGGCACGGGGGTCTTCATCGTGGTGGTCTGCGAGGTCGAGGCATGGACGCCCCACTGCACGCGTTCGACCGCACGCTCGACCTCGCGCCAGCGCAGGAAGCGCGACGCTGCCTCTGCGCGGAGCATGGCAAGTGTCGATGGGGTGCGGAAGAGTCCTATCCGCAGCGCGTCGATAGAACGCGGGCGGAAGCTGGATAAGTGCGGGGAGGTGACCTTGTACGAGACGTTGGGCGGGGAGTCGTGGTTCGCGGATGCGAGAGGGAGCAGGACGATGGGTATGTGTGGGCTGAGTGCCTCGATGAGGGCTTTCTCCGCGGGGGTGGGCGCTGAGGGGCCATAAGTCAACGTGTGGAGGTTGAAACGAGGAGACTTACTTGGGCACGCGACCAGTATGAGTGCGGTGTGCAGCGGGGAGGATGAGGAGGACAGGATATGGGCGAGGGTGCCGCTTGGTGGATGCTCGCGGTTGAGTATGTTCATAACCTGATAGAACGGGGAGTGGATGATCGGAAGAACATGCTGCACAACAGTGTCCGTCTACTGCCCGGGTAAGCGAAGTACCTCCTACGCGCGAGAAGAGACGTACCTCGGAGTAAGGATCGTAAGGCGGCAGCTCCAAAATCTCCACATTTCGCGCAGGCTCGACGCGCTCAAGTCCGTGCGCGTCGCGATGTTCTACCCAATGAGTAGATACGCGCAAGCTCGCCTTCCGCTTCCCTCGCGTATTTCCGCCTTCGGGCCGATCTTCTTCCCAAATGCCCACTTCCACAACGTCCTCGCTATCGTCCACAAGCCTTGAGGCGATTGCGCTCAAGTCCACGCCTTTCGGGCCGAGTAGTAGCAAGCGCAGCTCGCCGAGCGTCTGTCCGTAGGCCGTCGGTCGTTTGGACGGGGAGGGTAACATCAACGAGGGGATGACGAGCCCGCTCGTAGAGTCACCCAGGTCACTGTCTGGTTCTGACGGTGGGTGTGATGCAGGCCCAGACGAGAAGAGGAAGGAGGAGGACACCGAGGGGAAGGACGAGACAGAGTCCCCTGAGGGGCTGCCTGGCTCGGACTGGAACGCGCTGAATGGCGACGGAGGGTGGTATATCGAGGTGCCCGGGTGGTTTGGGGACGCATCTTCATGCTCGTCGTGTGCCGTGGTAGACTCGGACATGAGGCTCATGTCGAGATGCCGCAGTCCGCGGATAGTGTCCGCACTGGTGCTCGGCTCATGGTCTTGCGTGGCCATTCTTGGGCTCAGATGCTGGGTAGTTTGGGAGTCGCTACGCAAGCCGCCGCAGTATTACGAGCAATAGAGGTACGGGATGGGGTACGGGCGAGCAGAAGGGAGAGAGAGGGACGCAGATCACTGGATTGGGGTGAGAGCGTCCACCTGCTAAAGCACGCCACTGATGGGATCACCCTCAATCAGATAAGATTAGATGCACTTCATCTCGGAAGCGGAAGCATCGCAGCACGTGACACGACGCGACGAACTGCCGAGTCGCGTAGCTGCGCCGAACTTGTCCACAACCACAACCACCTCTCCTACCGCCTGGCTTGTCTCTGGCTCGAGCGCTCTGTTCTTGCTCTCCCGCGTGCGTGGGGTTGGGAAGAAGATGGCGAGGAGCACCGTTCTCGCCACGAAGACCACGAACACGAGAAAACGGAAATCAACCGGTGGCATCGACGATGGCAAGAGCGCAGCCGACGCGAGCAACAAGAGACGCAGGACTCTCGACACGTTCTTTTCACCTCTTATCACTATTCCGTCTATTGGAGTGAAGGACTCCGGTATTCCACACGAGCAGGTGTCTCTCAATGCAGAACAGGTGCGAGTACTCCAGATGGTGGTGCAGGAGGAGAAGAGCGTGTTCTTTACTGGCGCCGCTGGTAAGTCCCAACACCTTCTGGCCAGAAATACGTACGAATTTAGCTTTCATTGCTGAGATATGTTAAATTCTCGTGTGCGGAATAGTCCAGAGGCCCCACTCCGGTCACCTTCACGCGAATGCAGCCTCTGTGTACCCGGAGTTTGGCTATAGTCATTCAATGGTTGGAGAAGGCCCGGCCTTGTCATGACGCGTATATGATGCCACGTCTGCCTGTACGGCTACTTGAGAGTAGCTTGCGCTTGCTATGAAGTAGCTAGAAGGCGTTTTAGCCATGATGCGGCACTACTTTGCTGCTACGTACTAATATAAGCTTACCAGGTACGGGCAAGTCCCTATTGCTGCGCGCCATAATTGCCGCCCTTCGCAGAAAGCATGCCAAGAAGCCCGAAGTGGTCTCCGTTACTGCGAGCACCGGCATGGCTGCGTCGAACATTGGTGGTGAGTCAAGCTCAGCTTATGATAAGGGGCTGGAGCTCATCTAACGGCTGCGTCAAGGAATGACTATCCACTCTTGGGGTGCGGTCACCCCTGGTATGCACAACATTGATCGACAGATCAGCTGTATCAAGACGTGTAAGCCTGCGTTCAAGCGGTGGAAGGAGACCAAGGTCCTCATCATTGACGAAGGTGCGTAGCTCCTTTACATATGTGGCTATCGACTAACCCCGGACCAGTTTCGATGGTCGACGGCCAGCTTTTTGATACACTCGCGAAGCTCGCCGTCCAACTTCGCAAGAAGACAGACAAGCCGTTTGGTGGGATTCAGGTACCCACACATGTTTCATTGGGGTACCGTCGTTGACCAGGCTATTTACAGATTGTTGTCACGGGCGACTTCTTCCAGCTGCCTCCTGTCACGAAATCTGGGGAGGAGCCGTTTTTCGCTTTTGAAAGCGACGCTTGGAAGGAGTGCATCGACCATACGGTGACTCTCACCCAAGTTTATCGACAGACGGATACCCGTAGGTCATCTACCTTAGCCAATCGGAAGTTGCCTTATACCGAGCCCTCCAGAATTCGTCGAGCTACTCAACGAATTGCGCAAGGGTACCATATCCCCTTCGGCACAAACAACATTCACCTCCCTCTCGCGCGCGCTCCCGCCGCTCCCTTCCGGGATCCTGCCAACCGAACTCTACCCACTGCGCGCTCAGGTCGAGCGCGCCAACAGCACGCGGCTCGCAGCGCTCCCCGGCGCACCACGTACCTTCGCCGCCCGCGACACCGGCACGCACCAGAAGATGCTCGAGCAGATGGTCGTGCCCGCGCAGCTCGTGCTCAAGGCGAACTCGCAAGTGATGCTCGTCAAGAACGTCGACGAGAAGCTCGTGAACGGCAGCGTCGGGCGCGTGCTCGGCTTCTACAACACCGCAAGCTGCCTCGCGAGCGTCGCCCCACCCACGCCCCAGGAAGACGGCGCGAAGCCCAAGTCAGCAGCCGGCTCCCAGGAGGCGGGCACGTCGAAGGCGGGCGGCGCCGTGCGGAACGTGCAGGTCGGTCCGGACGGCCGCACCCCGGTCTTCTTCTATCGGCCAGCGGACGGTAAGGAGAACGTGAGGGACGTGAAGCCGACGTCTGCGGCGAAGGGAAAGACAGCGAAGGACGAGGAGCGGTATCCGCTCGTCGAGTTCCGTACGTCGCAGGGGACGGAGATTGTGCTCGTCGTCCGGGACGAGTTCCGCGTCGAGGATAACGAAGGCAAGCTGCTTGCGCGGCGCGTGCAGGTATGTGCCACCTTGCACTCCGATCTCGCACGGGACGCTGAGGGCGGGCGGACAGGTGCCGCTCGTGTTGGCTTGGGCGATGTCCATCCACAAGAGCCAGGGTCAGACGATCCAGCACGTCAAGATCGATCTGCGCAGCGTATTCGAGAAAGGTGCGATACCTTTCAGTTACGATTTGTGATCAACATAACTCAGTCCTTGTGATGCTCGAAGGTCAGAGCTACGTCGCGCTATCGCGCGCAGCGTCTTTAGATGGGCTACAAGTACTAGGATTCGATCCCAAGAAGGTGCGTCTGTCTCCTATGCGGGAACACGCTCGCCGACACGGGGCTCATGCCACCTTCTCCGTAGGTAAAGGCACATCCTAAGGTCATCGAGTGGAACACGACGTTAGAGACGCATGCCGGCACGGACGCGACGTGACACTGGCAGATGCTTCCGGTGATAGGACACTACTTACTACGTGGAGCCCCCTTATAGTCAATAATGTACAGGTAATTCTGTAGCATAGGATCACGCGTTCAATGGCACAGTGGAGGTTATGTGCGTACTGACGTGGACGTGGACGTGCAGACGATATGCAGGAACGGCAGGGACACGTAAACACCAAGCTCGAGGGTGGACATTGTGGTCGGTCAGGCGCAGTCAAATGAGTTGACCGTATCGGATTCACACTCACGCATTTTAGACAAGAGGCAGACGAGAAATCGCCAACGTATGGCCGTGTGTTCAAGCAAGACAGCTGCACATCTACATTCAACGGTTCAATCGCTCTTGGGACGGCGTTACGGTCACGGGAGCGGTGATGGTACTTATACTGAGGGACGCGGACGCAGCGGCAGCTCTGAAAGTTCACTGGGCAGCCTTCAAGCTGCGTAACTTCTCGAAGCGCCCCACAAACTCTGCCTTGACAGCAGCCTATTCCAACTGCTATCAGCTACGACGGCACCAGCACTCGCCCGCTTCCCCGGAGAACCACTCACCTCGTCCCACGTCGCCGCCATGCTCGGGCGCGCAACATTGTCCGCAATGTACCGCTGCAGACGCGCGAACCGCGGCGACTCGAGCGCGGCGCGCACCACCGGCGCGGCCCCGGGCGCGAAGAACCCGACCTCGAGCGTGACGGACATGCGCAGGCGGAGCAGGATGGGCATCACCGCGGCGTCCGCGATCGACCACTGCGGGCCCGCCGCGAAGCCGCCCGCGGGCGGGAGCCGCGCCTGGAGCGCGTCGAGCGCGGCGAGCATGGCGTCCGGGGGCCCACCCATGAGGAAGAACGCCTTTTGCGCGGGGAGCAGCTCGGTCTCGACGGCGGTGGTGAAGAGGCGTGCGCGGGCGCGGAGCACGGGGTCGGAGGGGAGGAGGTGCGCGGCGGGGAAGAGGTCGGCGAGGAACTCGAGGATGACGAGCGATTCGGGGATCTTGGCGGCGTCGGGCGAGGGCGCCTCGTCGGGGTGCAGCTCGGGCCCGCCATAGATGAGGTAGGGGACCTGCGGGAGGGAGTGTGCTTAGCGGCGCAGAGAGGAAGAGGGAGGGGCGGAAGGTGGTACCTGCGCGCGGTCTGGGTAGACTTTCTTCTGGTACCAGTCTTGCTTGTCTACGAGGGAAATATGTATCATCTCATATGTAGCGTGAGCCTCTTCTAAAGCCAGCCGAACCTGTGAAGGGGGCGTCAGTGTCACTCTCCATGAGAGTCGGCCTATGGGCTGCCAGAGTGGATGCCTACACGGTGCGGGAACGGCGAGGCCTGTCAAAGACACAAGCAAGCATCACAAGTCAGTCAGAGAAATATCTTGGGAACTCAAGAGGAGGAGTGCGCGTACCGAAGCCATGTAGAGTGTGATTCTCTTCTGCGCAGACATGCTGAAATGTGGTCGAAGGGTAATGCAGAGCCTGGCTTGCGACGAGTGTGCTTTATGCATAGTCGAAGAGCGCTATTTCGAGCGTTACTCTTGTGCGGGATGTATGGAAACGCAGGTTGTTCGATTTGTGCGCCTTTCTGGGTCACGGACATAACGTACTGACGTCTGCGCCCCGCCACTGAGAGGAGCACAGCAGTGATATGGTTTGAGTATGGCGAGAGATGGGCTGCGATGGGGATAGAGGACGCAGTTCATACTGCATCTGCGAGGCTCCGGATGCGCCCCGTCCGGGTCGTCAAACGGGGATAGTACGAGTTACCCCCTATGAACTGCCAGGAGGCATTGCGTTTCAGCTTGCGCTGGGTGGATCATGGATCTCAGCGTAAACTTACGCGCTCGGTCTAATGAACCGCGATCGAAGTTTGTACCTGTGGATATAGATATGTGAGTCGATTGCCGCTGTCCTCTCCTTGGCGTGCCTTGTGCTTTACCGGGTTACTGCCCTCCGGGGGCACAAGTATTTGGGGAAAGTTGACCATGGCGCCAGCGAAGGATAAGCCGGGAATTTGGCGTAGAGACAGGCGGGGAGACTTCGCTACAGATAGCTAGCTTTAAGCCTCCATGGTAAGTACATGATTGGTCTAGGGATAGGATCCTTCCGCTCAAAGAAAAAAGGGAGCGGAGATCAGCCTCACGGCGTATGCAAACTTCATAGGCTCTTTGCTGCCAAATTTTTACCACGGGTGTCGTCCGTTCGTCGTACACCAGACTGTGACATCCTGAGACCTCGACCGCCGGGAGTTTTGCGACCATAAGTGGCTGTGCTGTCCCGTGCCGCGCTATGTTCGACGTTTGTGCGCCCACTGGGACTATCCAATCGCACTGGCGCTCCACATTCTGCGGAGATGGACGTCTGAACGTCTGGGTGTGTACCGTAAGGTTGCAGGCGCTTCTACTGGGAATCGGGTTCCCTGATACTTCAACTCGCGGCGGCGAAGATGCGGGGGGCAGTGAGGCCTTGAAGCTTGAAGGAGCGGGTCCTGCATGTCGGTCCTAGACGAGCGAGCGATGAATGGGACAGGTGGCCATAGGCGATACGCCCGGTGTATACAGCGTTCTCCGACCTCGCAGATAGCACACCTTGCAACGGTGTAGCAGGAGAGAAGTGGGGCGTCCTAGAGGGACAGATGCACCTGGCCTGTTGAAAGCGCACAGCCGGTATCAAGTCATGTTACCGAGAGGGTACATTGCACTCACTCACAAAGATACTCGTACCGTACTATACCGCAAACAGACCATCGGGGCGCCTTGCTATTAATACGGAATGTCGTGCGCCACGTCGCCCTCGATGTAACGTCATTGCACGAGGGGCTTCGTGAGGACCTGAAGGTTCGAAGCCTTGCGATCCTGTCGGACGGCCGACCTACATGCGCTGCGAAGTCGTACCGTCTCCGTCGCCCGCGTGGGATCTTGCATCCGCATCAAAGGCACACAGAGCACGCAAGTCCTTGAAGATCGGGCCATGATGACTATACCTGCGTACGGGATGAGCAACGAAGAGCACGGGTATGCCATACCCCTACTAGGCTTCCATATCTAGCTTGGCCGTTCTTGCACCGCTAGAGGGCGAGTCCGGGGGGAGAAGGCTCGTGTTTAGGGATGTTATGTGCCAGCCTCACTGGGCCGTAGGCGGGCCCCATGTTTTCATGTTGCACTAATTGTCGTCTTCAAGTCATTTTCTGCGGATAATACTTAGTATGCCGAACATAAATCATTTTTTGATTCGTAGTAAGCACGAGCTCCTGTAGGACAATCGTTTGATATTAGAGAACTATCGAGATCGGCACGGGTGTCCAACCTTACCAAGTACACTTGTACCGCGTCCAACTAGAGTCGGCCTTCGATGGTGAGGGCAAGAGTCAAGAACTACTTAGCGCCGGCAAGGACTGAAGGGCCCGGAATCTCCCGGAGCATTTGGGTGGCGGGCGCTTCTGCCGGTCGCGCGGTTGCTACTGTGCTCCTACCCTCATCTATCACGTAGGTGGTAGCTCGGGCAACTACGGCTAAGGGGATATGTTCAGGCGACAAAAGCTTGATTCGACGCCGGTGAGCCCCCAATGCGGGGAAAATTCACTGTATTGACCGGTATAGCTGATACGAAGGTGGAAGGGTGCCTGTGGAAGTCACGCTGAGCCGCACGTCCTCGGCGAAGCCCTCTTCTCCAGGAGGTCCACCGGCCAGTCGAAGGCCCCTATCGACAGACTGTCTCCTCCTCCCAGGGCCGTATCGCGCCTCTCTTGCGGATACTGCGTCGGAGCCCATTCGTCCCACAGGCGTCGCCGCTGAGGTTGGTGGAAGAGATAGTAATGCATCGTTCCTTGACCTCGTATGTTTCTCAGATAGCCCGACTCGGATCCAGGTTTGATTTCCATGGGGCCTACTCGCCTGAGAGCGATCGTCGTGGGGGTTAGAAGGGGTTTCCATCACGGTCTGGTGGTCGTAGACGTCGACGTCTTCCTGGACACCTCTCGGTGCAGCGCCCTGGAGAATGGGTACTTGCACGCTGTCAGCAGATCCAGACTTGTTAAGCTGATCTGGGCCGCGATGGCCTGGAAGGCACGGTTCGTTTCAGTGCACACGTTACCGAAAGCAACTGACACTCACCAAGGGCCGCTGTTCCCTTTCCTGCAGAATATCCACCATTCCACCGCCGTTTGCGCCACCACTGCGCCACCACGAGCATACCAATCAATAGCACGGCTCCCGCGACGGCGACACCAGCGATCGCCCCCGGCATCATCGTCGGAGATCCTACGCTAAGTCCATGCCCGTTATTCGTGTTCCCGCCGGAGGCCTGAGAACTGGATGTCGTGGGAGCAGATGGCTGGGGTTCATTGACATCGGTTGATGCGGACGACTGGACATCCGGCACAGCAGACAAGGTGAGTGATGCAGTTGTATGGGTGGCAGCCGCAGCTTGGCTATGCGGGGAGCTTTGCGTAGGGGGTAATGTGTTGTCCGCAGATGAGGATGTGAGTTCAGCCGCTGAGAGACCCGCAGGTGCGGAGGACACCCTATTATCTGGAGACGTCGGCGAAACAACGTCGCTCGTCGAGGAGCCGCTCCCCGCGCTCGTCTGCGCATCCGCCGAGGATGCGGCGGTATCGGAGGTGGTCCCCACGTCATCAGGGACCTCGACTTGGATGTAGTCGAGCCAAAACTGCTCGCCCATGTTCTCGATCGTCAGGACGTGGGGGCCATATTTGATCTCCCCGGACGCAAAGAACTGGCGGCGATGGACCACGGCGGCGATGTCGTTCGGGGGCAGGAAGGTCGTCGGCGGCCCGCGGTCGATGCTATACTCCGAGCGCATGTCGAACGTCCCGACGGGTCCGAAGGCGCCGTATACGGCTACCGCGCTGCCTGCGACATCGACAAGAGTGAGTACGTCTGGTCCGGAGCTCTCAGGCGAGACGGTGCTTACCGGTAAACTGAAAGCTCGCTACGGTTCCAGTCACGTTTGAGTAGGTGAGTGTCGCCATATAGTTCAGCTGTTGTGGGTCGCCGCCCGTATTCGGTACCCATGCTCCCGTATACTGGATGCGCGGATCGGCGTCATCGATAGTCAGGATTGCGCCGCGCGCGATGTGTAAAAGATAGAAGAGGGTAAGGAGTGTGGTTTCCGCGAAGAGGCGGGGCATGTTGGGCGTTGCAGTCAGCAAGCGGTGGACGGGCTTGCCAGCGGCATAGTCGCGCAGGGTGAGAGATAGAAGGCTTACCCTCGGGGACACTACACACGCTCGTCGCTGCTCACTGTAGGGAAGCCTGCGATGTCCATACGGAAGATCGCAGCGCCGGAACATGGCATCAATGCTCAGTGTTCGATAGGATTCTCGCCGCAGTGGGACCGCCAGCGACTGCTTCGCTCACCATCACCATCATTTACATCAGGTTCGAGCGGAAATACAGCAGAGGTATTATCACACCTGGGTAGGTGAGTATCATGTATCCCGCGCCGCATTGCACCTCGGGACCATCGTGGATCTACACTGGCAGGTGAGTCCTTCACCACACTGACCTCTTTGCTGAGCATGCGTGGCATTACTTCGGCGATGTATCCATTTGTCAGACTTCACTGTGATCCCAACATCTGGACAGTATGTCAGCGCCGTCTTTCAGGACAAGGTACTTCGTACCTATCGCAAAAGGTTCCACATCACTCTATTGGTGCTGGGCAGGGCGGTGGAGTTGATCATGCGGCGCTCCGAGTCGACGTCTCGATGTCGACACGAAAGCTTCTCTAGATCTTCTCTCAGTGAACCATGGTCTCTCCATTGTTTGGACGCATATTTCGGCACATGGCAGCTCCAAGAACGTCCTCAAAACGAGCGAATGAGATTGAATTAGGTCTCCTCGGTGGCGCAACACTACAAACGCCGCCAACTCTCACTTAAGGCCAACGAAGGGCTCCTTTTAGCTCTACTATATCGAGGTGAGTGAACATGACAGACCGCGCGGTGGATCAACGCTCACCGGATGATGTGTCGATCCACCACAACAGCAAGTCGGCACACCTGTGACGTGGTTACAGCAGACGCGCGGTTTGCGCCCCTTCGTCACAGTCTCCTCAAACATCTCCCAGGGGTCCTTGCATGCGGGCTTCGCGTTCCCGCGCCGCTTGTCCATGCAAAAGTGTTTCCAGAACGGGATCGCGCCGCCATTAGCAGACCCGCCCTCGCGGAATGTGACCATGAGGATGTACGCGCCAACTCCCCAGTAGTCGCGCCCGAACTCCCGCCTGCCGATAGCAGCGGCGGGGGGGACTTGTAGGTAGACTTCTTGTATATATCGGGGTACTAAGGACAGACAATGCAGAGTACAGTCCTTCAACTCCCTTAAGCATGCACCGCTTGGCAAGTCGTCCCGCGATGCGCGATGTCGGCTGGATCGCCGACCGCATGATCCGCTCCCCCACAACGCGACAATTCCCTACTCGGCCAGGGGGGCATCCCCGTGCCGCAGCGGCCAGATTCGCGCGCTATGCAAGGCCCTTACGCGCATCTGATCATGTGTTCGAAGTCCAGTTCCCGCATCCTGTGCGGCGTTCTGGTGCCAGTGCGACACCTCCAGGTTCACCCGCAGACACTTTTGAAGGAAGGCCCTCTGCGCTGCTGGCGCAGTTCGCAACCCAGCCTGAGTCGTACAGATAGCAGCCAGTGGGATGTTGAGGCACTGATTTCGGCGGTGCACACCTCGCCTCGTGTCTGACAGAACCTTGTATAGAAGACGGGAAAGTAATGCGGGCTGTATACCGGCGTTTCTCGAGGTGTACAAATAACCTGTCTTCAGTTTCGAGATGCCTCACACGCGTATCGGGCACGCTGTCAGCCCTTTCCCCCATCTCCTGCACGTCTCCTGTCACTCGGGGTCGGTCCGTGGTCAGACTATCAACTTTCGAAAGCAAGGCGACTTAGGTGAGTACCACCAAAGCTGTGTCTAGAGCACAAGTCACTGAAATGCAGCGGTGATGAATCACAGCATGCCACGCTTTCTGAACGTCTGGACGGGTGTGTTCGAATGGCACGCGGATTCGAGCGAGGTCCGTTACGCCATTCTGTCGCACACCTGGCTTCCCCCCGAGCAAGGCGGCGAGCAATCCTACGCCGACGTCTGCAAGCTCCAAGCCACGTTACACGAAGGGCGAGGAAATCCCCTACCTTCCGACTCTAACGTGGCACACATCGAATACGACCCCTACGGTACCATCTTCGCTCATCCCGAGCTCTCAGAAAAGATCAATGGGATCTGCAAGGTCGCGCGCGACGCCGGTTTCAGGCTCGTCTGGATCGATTCGTGCTGCATCGACAAGACGAGAAGTGCCGAGCTCTCGGAGGCGATCAATTCCATGTTCGAATGGTACAGGCTCTCGGACGCATGCTACGTCTACCTCTCTGACGTCCCCAACGGCGATGACCCCAGGGCACCGGAGTCGGCCTTCCGAAGGAGCAGGTGGCACACCCGCTGTTGGACACTGCAGGAGCTCATCGCGCCCAGGCATGTAGAGTTTTTGACGCAAACCTGGGGCTTTCTGAGCACGAAGACGGGGCTTGCAACGACGCTGGAAGAGATCACTGGGGTCGACTTCGATATTCTCACCAGTCTTCAATCAGTGAACTGGGCCAGTGTCGCGCGGAGGATGTCATGGGCTGCGTCACGAGAGGCCACGCGCATTGAGGACACCGCGTACTCGCTGATGGGAATCTTTGGCGTCCATATGTCTCCCATCTACGGCGAGGGTTTGAACGCTTTCCTGCGTCTCCAGGAGGAAATCGTCAGAACCATTCCCGATCAAAGCATCTTTGTTTGGGGTACACAATCATCTTACCCTCCAATAGTCCGTCTCGCCGAAATGTCTTGGGGCTTCCATTTTGGTCTATTCGCGCCTCATCCCATATATTTCAAGAACTGCGGCAACAACATTCCAATCACACGCGACAACTTCGCATCACGTCTACACCTTCAATCTACCCGAGATATTCCCAGGCCTCTCTGCATATTCACTGCCCAGGGTGTTCGTTTAGACTTCCTGACTGTCCACCCTAGAGCTCTTCCGATGCGCGTCCTGGATAGAATGGCCTTCACATATTCCCCCGAAGGGCCATGCCTCGAGCACCAAGAATCTCTCAAGTCCATGCCTGACATGCTTCTTGCGCTCTTGCAATGCGTAGACCGGAGAGATGGATCCCTCATCATGATCCCTATCAAACACCCTTCCCTAGCAGGTATAGGGACCCGTCCTGGGCGTGGGAGCTTTGTCGAAGCGAGACATTATTGCAAAAATCCGAGGCATAATTGGGTAGACCGCAATTATCCCCTGAGGAATGACGAGTTGTTGGAGCTTCTGTCGCGCACCAAGCCCGCTGTTTCCGAGCTACACCTCTTGGCTAGCTGCGAAATCACAGAGTCTCCTCTCACCCGCCATCACAAGACGTACCGAAGTAGTACCTTGGACCTCGCTCTCTGGCCGGGCCATCATGCGGACGACATTGCATTTCGGATTGCCCCTCGTTGCCTCAAGGCGGTATCCTCGCTTGGCTTCTTTGTCTCGTCCCCCATGCCACAGGCTGTACCACGCTCGGAGCAGGAGATCTCTGTGAAGGTCGTTCTTGCGTACCTCGGCGGGGACCTTGCTTCTGACTATAGATGCCCGCAGACCATCGAGATCACTCTGGTCATCAAAAAGAAGGCTTGGAAAAACACCAGAGTAATCCATTTCTACGTCGTGAACTTCCTCGGCGTCCCAATCAATGATACTGAGTCGCCCTCCCAGCTCCATTCCCCCACCACTTCCCCTGAAGTCGCTAATCATTCTATTGTTATGATGGCCACTTCCGGGGTGGACTACCGCAGTCATGAGTGGTGGAGACTCCAGACAGCGTCCACAATGGAATGGCTCCCCTGCGACGTACCATTTCGCTGCACAGTCGCCTCTGATGCTCCAAAATGGGACCGAGCGCCCCCTTTCACTGTTCGGTCCTTGGAAATTGCAGTGAGACCGTTTTTGGACGACTCAGATACTTTGCACGCCAACTACATGTGGCTGTACGTCGACCTCTCGGAAAAGCGGCCACACTGGCCGCCAGAGGGCATAGTCGTACCTTTCTGGTATCGTGGACAGCCCGATCCCTCTAACGATTTAAGGGAGGACCAGGAAGTGTCACATCATGGCGACTCACAGGAGGACACCGAGGCGCACCCTTTCTCCCCAGGCGTCACATCCTCCTCGACGGTGAGTATATAGCATACCCATCCGGAATTTCTTTCATCTGAAGAATCACGATATTACCTACACAGCCCATTCAACCCGAAAGCTTTCCAGGCGCGCCTTTTATGTGGGACAGAGAATCACCCCTCAAGAGCGGGCCATCTGCGACCGAGCTTTGCCATATCTCGCTACCCCGACAACGGAGCTCGTGCGCCGCGTCGTCTAGGCGTGACACAAACGCAGATGGTCCTCGCCCGGAGCTATCCCGTCCATCACCCACAGCCTCCACTCCAGAGTCCTCAGTCCGCGTTCATTCGGAGCCGATGGGAGGTGCAAGCATGGACACCGTTGTGGCGGATATCGATTCCGGAGAGGCGGGTGCAGACCGTACCTCAAGAGGCAGCCGCGCAACAGACGAGGAGTCGCGACTCAGGGCAGCAGTAAGTACTTCAGTATCACCGACTCATTTCGATGCTAATTCCAGAGCCCTTAGCAGGACACAGTTCTCTACCAGCTTCGCCAAGATGCTGCGCGGCTTCTGGCCAACCGCAAAACCTCACCCATCGTACGGGTATCGGAACCCTATGCTTCGCACCTAAAGCCCTCGAGCGATGCGGAGTCGGAAAACGCGCACTCCTCTTCGAGCTCTTCGACAACTGCCACCCCGACCTCAAGATCTGCTGCCCAATCCTCCTCGGCGCGTCCTGAAAGCGTCGGGGAGCTCGTCTCTGTCGCGGAGCTAGACTCGACGCGACCAGGCAACGCCTACAACAAAGAAACTAATACGATCTAACCCAAGGGCGGCGAGCGCGAAGGCTTGCTAACGCCGAGCGTAGACTTTCAAGTCAAATCTAGCCCAAGGACCAAGTTAATATTATGCTGACTAAGAGAATACAAAGGACGGCTTACCTAGCCCAAGGACCAAGAGGTCAAGATGAGGGCTAGGGTCGCTACAGGTGGGGTTTATATACTGAGTCAGGGGAGCCAAACATGTACAAACGTAAAGGTGGTCTGTGCGCACATTAGTGCCAGTCTGCAGGTGGGGGTCAGGTGACTGGTCACATGCTTCTAACTACTGGTTCTAAGTCTAAGTGTCGTACGAATGGCCGTAAGAAAATAGGAAAAATGACGGAAAAATA